AACAATTTTCAGTCAGGTCATCTGGACAGTGCCAAAGACACCATCTTAGCACCAACATAACTGGTTTGTTCCACTTTGGAATAAGCTGTTTGGGGAAGAATCAGTTTTGTGTTGTGTGTTTCCTTGACTGATGAAGCCTTCTGGATGGAAGGTGAAACGTTTCAGCAAAAAATGAAACTGTCCAGATGACCTGACTGAAAATTGTTTACCTTTTATACAGTTTATATATTTTGTATTATACGGTTTTTACTTGTGCTCTGAGAAGTAAATTCAAATTTTGTTGTACTCAGGTGCAGTGATATTCTAAAGGTCTATTCTGTTACACAAATGAGCCACACCAGTACACACACACAGTGTTTACATAGTATAGCATTATAGAAGTAGACCTTGTGGAAAAGTATTTGAGTCACTGCTACATAACTTATTGCTGACCCCACCCCACACACCCTTGCAGATCAAAAAGGGGACTTTGAAATACTCTCCCATCTGTCCATCCTGTTCCTCTTTTGAAATGAATACCTTGAAAAATAAGCACTGTGCCAGCTCCCGTTTGGTGTAAGGGTGCATCTAGAAGAAAGATCACCATTAAAAATTGAGTTGTCACGTCAAGATGGCCACAATAATGTAAATCTTGTCACCCCTATCATTTGAGGATGCTACACTTTCTAATTTATATATTGTTTAAGTAGTTTCCTAAAATGAGGCGGCCAAAGACTAATCTATGGTGGGCTAGGCCTCCATTGGCCACCACCTGGCTACTCCATGGCTCATGGATCTTTTTGCCAGGATCCGTCACTCTGCACTTTTACTTGTATTCAGTGTAACATCTACCCACTTGAATATACAGTATACACCAGAAACATTAAGGTTTCCCTGTTCAAAAAAGAAAAACTCATTTGGAAAATTACAAACATTCAATATTCAAAATGCTCGGTGACGGACATCAGCGTATTCCTCGTTACCCTGGCTTATGTGCTCATTTTCATTCTATGAATTTTTTTTTATTTGACCTATAAAAAAATTGTGGCAACTTGTTTTTGCTAGAGAATATGATGCATATGTTTAAGTCATTGTTTAAAGAAAGTAGGACCTACGGATGCAGACTGGCATGAGGAACGAAAGTATAAAAAAATAAACCAGATTTATTAAACAAACAATGCTGACCCGACAGCAACTACTTACAAAACTGAAGAATTGACGTGGCTTAAGCAGAACACAATGCCAGACTGACTGTAAAGTGCAGAGCTGAAGACGTGCATGGCTGCAACTATAAATGGAGGACAGGTGTGACTGAGGAGCAGAGACTGACTGTGGCACATTACTGAGAGAATCAACTGGTGGCCCAGGGTTACACAGCTAAACCCTAAAAAGCACAACACACTGAATATAATATAAAACAAACAAAAAAAAAGGAATAAATCTCTCCATTATCTTTTGCCCACTTCTTCCTTTTTTGGTCACGGGGGTCATTGGTGTCCATATCCACCAATCACTGCACGAGAGGCGGGGTACATCCTGGATGGGTCTCCAGTCCATCCCAGTGACAGAAACAAATGAGAAACAACCATTCACTCTCTCACATCTAGGGACAATTTTTATTTACAATAGAGGTTGTAGAAATCCAAGTTAAGTAATGTGATGGTGTTCACTCTGAATGTGAGCATCCTCTAACACATGCCAGGATGAGAAGTTGATTAAATACACTCAGACTTTTAAACTTCTGAGTTTACTTCTCATCCAGAAATGCTGAACCAGTACTTGTCTTCTTTGACTCATTGTGTCTCTTCGTGCAGCGCATGCCAGCTGCAGCTTCCAGCCACCGGTGTTCCCATCACCCGGCAGCGCTTCGACTACATGAGGCAGAAGTTCAGAGAGTACGTCCGGGCTCAGACTCTGCGAAACTGGAAGTTCTGGATTGTATCCTTCTGAAAATAAATTTGTCAAGCACAGGGATGCACACTTAAATACACATTCTAATGACAGACAATGACAAACACCTGGGGAAAGACAATCAGTATCAGGAGAGAGCAGCAGGAGCTAAAACAGACCGCAAGAGGGAGACTCACTAGGGAACACAAATCCTCACAGATTGTGGGTTTACATGAATGATTCTCCTTTCTTCAGTGTTTTCCTGTTATCTAAATGTGTTTTAAAGTATTTTATATAATTAAGTCATGTTTCCTGAACTCGGTCTTCAGTTCAGCATCATCATTGAACCTCTGTTTGAATCCTATAATGGGATGGTCTCTACAGCCAGTGTGGAAGATCTGTGTCGGTCCACTTTATCCTGGTTGGACCAGCACTGTGCCCTGCCTGCCCTCAGACCCAGTGAGTCCATCACTGCTCCAAACTGAACTGTCCACCCTTCCATCAGTACTGGTGTGACCTGCCTTTTTGTTCCTTTGTGTGTCTCCTCAGTGGTTCTGAGTTCACTCCGTCTCCTGAGTACCACCACAGCCATCCTGACAGACCCGAGCTTACTGCCTGAGCAGGCCACGCTCGCCGTCATGCACGGTGACCCCCCTGCTGCCATGGACCACTCCTTACAGCCCGTCCCTCGGCAGTAGTCCACAGCCCTTATGGACCTCTGAAGAAAACCTTAAAAAAAGATAGCCTGTGGGCTCAAAGCTAAACTACAAGACTGTTAATAATAAAGAAGAATGATCACATTTATAACGAAACTCAGCAGATAACAGGAAGTGGTCCAGCTCGCTTAAGAATGATTAAAACTAAACAGGATCAACACTTCAGATGTGTGCTTTAAAGTGTTTTACAGCTCGCGTAATATACGGGACACTAATTTCTAAACCTCAACTGAAGATGCCAATCACATGACTCGTGTAATTTTTATTTATTTTATGTTAAAATTTTATGTTAAAAAATGTTTACTTAAAAAGAAAGAATAATATTGGTTTATAAAGACAGTCCCT